TGTCAACAGGGCCACGCTCTGGTGGCCTTCCTGGAATGCGTGGACCTTGGGGCCACTCTCAAGCCAGCACGAGCCTGGCCATGGCCATGCCATGGTATGTTTCAACGTGACTTGAGCTGGAGCTCCTGTGGGAGTGAGGGGAAGCAAGGGCATGAAGTCACGCGGGATGGGCACTAAAGAGGAACTCATACTGGCAGAAGGGGGCGTGGAGAAAAGTGGCCGGGCAAAGGTTTATACTGGCAGCAATCGGCATGGGCACAGTGCAAGGCTGTCTGAGCTCTGACACTGCTAGTTAGATATGTTTGCCAGTTGCTCTGTTTCCTGCTTTAGAAAGGAGTTCATCAAGCAGTGCGGAGGCTCTTTGGATGAAGGAAAGGGAAGAAGGACGCGAAATGCGCTCTAGCTGTACAGGGCTGCTTCGTCTTCAGTAGCTGGATGGAAAATGAAGAAGTGGGCCACCCCCCTTTGGGCATGGACTATGCAGATCACTGGTTCAGGTGCAGCCTGGCTGTGACTAGTGTCCCCTGTGCACATAGAAGGAAAAAAATTCCTCCAGGAGAACCAAAAACCATGGGGTCATTCAGGTCCCTGACTCCGGTTCTTCCTTCTACACCCCCTGAAGAAGTAAGTCACAGCCTGTCATTCGAATCCAGCGAAGTCCCCCTACCCCCAGTTAGCTTAATATGACAGATAGAGTGGGCATTAACATGGCCCGGAGCAGCAGTTTCTGACAAATTAGCCAAATTAAATTCTCCAGGGTAGAAAAAAAGGGAGTTATCCTGTTCCGTATCACTTGAGTACGGAACTAGTTATTTTGCTCACAGCAGAGTTTGGCTTCTGAGGATCCAGGAATAGATCGAGCCCAGAGCTTTATGCAATCATTGTTCACTCTGACATTGTAGGGGCGAGGAGTTCTGGGCATCGAACTGCCCAGAGACATGGAGATGAGCCAGCATGGCTAGGCAAGGGACGTTACTTTTAAAAGTGGGATGCGTATCATTGTTGTTGGGTTTGGAGCCATCTGAGGGACTGGGCTTTGCCTCTGACCCCAAGAACAGTGTGGCCTGGCGAGCAGCCTGAGCCAGGGACCTGCAGGCCCCTTCTCCCTCCTTGTAGGCAGTGGACCTGGCTGAGGTCAGGTCTGGACCATGTCCCCGGATGTGGGTTCTGTGGCCTTCCCTGGGACTCTAGGGAGAGCCTTGGTTTTTCTAAAGTGCTGTGAGCTTGGGCAGGCGGAAGCCAAGGTTGGGCAAGGATGCTAGTCTGGAGGTGGGGTGGGCAGCGCAGGCTGTGAGACTGGAAACGAAGCTCACAGATGCTGCAGAAGGCAGGCTTACACAGCACTGATGAGCCGGCCGTGGCTCTGTTCCCCTTCGCACAGAACCAAGGCTGTTCCTGACCCAGACCGAGGTGGTGGTGATAAACCTGTCTTCAGTGACAGAGAGGGTGGCCAGAATATGATTCTGCACCCACGCTGTGAGACACCCAGTTCAGCGGCACAGCGCCCTCATGGTCACCTGGCTGCCTGGGTGCCGTGGCCTGGCCCCCCCAGGTCGGTTCCGACTGCAGCCGCGGGCTTCGCAGAAGATCCAAATTCAAGGTTGTAGCACGATTTCTATTTGAACTCTATAACTTTTCACATCTGAAGTCAAAAATTCTAAGTCGAACCATAGATCTGGGCCTGTCTATAGTGGGAAGAACAGACTGAACTCTGGGTACCGTTTCTTCTGGATGACAGCTCAAAATCATGCTACCTACACCCGCAGCTCTGGTTTCCTTCCCTCTGAGATCGGGGCTGCTGCGGTTGCACCAGGTGGCCACAGGGAGGCACTGTCGGCAGCTGTCTCTGGGCTGTGGAACTAAGGCCTATGGCCCCTGGCTGAAGCAGTACTAGGAGCCCTTCCCTCAGCCTGCTGGGACGAATTGCTTGCTCTTCTTTTCCTTTTAAAATCAGAAATGAGTCTTCTCACTGAGCCACATTCTCAACTCCTTTTTTAATTTTTTACATTCTGGGGTAGGAAGTTGTTAGATTGCTCCATTGTCCAGACAGGGCTGGAATTTGTGATCTGCCTTCCTCAGCCTCCTGGAGTACTTGGGTCCCAGGCATCAGGGGCGTCTGTCTTCCTCCCCTGAAATCCGTCTCTCAGGGCTCACTATCTTTGGTGTCAAAGAGAGCTGGGCTTCCAGGGATTGAGTACTCCCCTCCCCAGGGCCGGGAGGGCGCCCCACTCCCAGGTATCTCGGTGTCCTCTCCCGCAGGTGTCCACCCCCCACCCCGTAGGTGTCCACCTTTCCTTCCAGTCCCCACCCTGTCCTGTTCTTGGCCCTTCCTACCCCACCAGATTGACTCCTCCAGCAGGCCTGGCCCGGGTGTGTCACCTCCTGCCCCCACACAAGGCAGCGTTTTGGGGCTTCTGCGTGGCTCACTGTGGGCCCCCTCCTCCGAATTCCCTGTCCACATGTCTGGAGGGCTCCTGAGGACCCACAGGACAGCACAGTTTGGGTCCATGTCTAGCCTTCCCTACGACCTGGGGGTGCTTGGTGAAGTTCAGCTGCACTCTGTGGCATCACCCCAAAGTTGCTGAGCCCCCTGCAGGGCCTGCTACCCTCCAACTTCTCCCTGGTGGGTCGGGGAACATCAGGAGAGAGGGCTTGGGGGGCAGCAACTGGCGTCCTGTGGCGCCGGGCTGACCGTCCTTCAGGCAAGGTCCTTCTGGCCTGTAGAGCTCTGCTCTCTGCCAGCATGATCGCAGCTTTCAAAGGCAGAACCGGGCATCTTCATTCTGGTCTTTCCTTCTTGTAAGAACTTGCCCAGGGGACAGTTCCCACTTCCTAGGTGCTGCTTGCCACCTCCAGACACTGCCTTAGCTTAGACCCGTTGCTCTTGTGTTTCTGTTTTCCAAGTCTTCGTCCTTGTTTCTCTTGGTCGGTTCTCAACACTGTAGCATAGTCAGTCTGTCAAGTAGCACCCTGCTCCTGTGTTTGAAACTATGCAAGGACTTCTGGTCATGTCTTGGGATGCGTGAGGACTCCTTGGTTGGAAGGCACTGCTCCCCTACACTGCCTCTCCTGTCCTTTGGACCTTGCCCCTGACCTTTTGGGGTACATCACTGTGGTCACGCTGAACCCATCCAGGAGGGACACATGACTGCCCCTGGCCTCTGGGTGTTTGTGTCTGAGCCTCCAGTATCCTCCCTTGCTTGGCTGAACCCTGTTTGTCTCTTCCTTGGGCCGCAGCACCCTGTCCACACTGCCAGCACTCCACTCACCATTGAGAGAAGGGCTGATCCTGGCCCCAGGCTCTTGGAGAATAGGACAGTGCTGTAGCCACAACCCGTGCTCAAGCCAGCAAGCTACTGACACCAGGAAAACTGGGAGCCCTGCCCCCAAGGCCTTGCCCTGCCTCCTGTCAGGAAGCAGTGAGGTGAGGATGTCACACTCAACTCTGTGACCCCGCTAGTGCATGTGCAAGTGTGTGAGTGGTGGCCCCAATGAGCACAACACATCCAAGTGCTGAGTACACCAGAAAGCATTAAAGTAGAAAGAGAGCCAGCGTGGCAGTGCTCTGGAGCAGCGGGGCTGCTCACAAGGATTCTGCTGAGGACAAACTCACTGCCATCTGGGTCAAAGGACAAGCAGTGCCAAAGCTCCGAGGATGGGGCTCGGGGATAATCAGACTGTGTGGTCACATGTAGGCGAAAATGTCTTCTTGAGGGAGGGAAAACTGAGACCCAGTGAAATGAAGTTGTACCAGTCTAGACGGGGCCAGCTGCAAAGCTGTCAGTGTGGCTGTCCGTCTCCCTAGGGCCCAGCCGACCCCCACAGCTGACAGTGCTTGCAGGACATGAGCTGTATGGTTTAGCGTGTGGTGTGGGGTTCACAAAGTCTGTCTGGGGCGTCTGACCCCATGAGGCCCATCTGACCCCATGAGACCCTGCGCCATGGTGTGAGGTTTCCTGGGGTTCTTTGGGTCCTCAGTGTCCGGGTAGGCCAGGGGCCCTGGAATGGCTTCCCCCTCTATGCGTTCTAGTTCATCTTCTGCTGCAATGCTGGAACACCCAGCCCTGGGGAATTAGGAGAGAAAAGAGCTTTATTTTGTCCCACTGACTGGAAGAGTGAGAGAGAGAGAGAGGGGACACAAGAGGGCCCTGCCTTCAGCCACCTGCTTTGCAGGAGCCAACCTACCCCACAGATACCAACCTGGCCATGGAAGGGAAAACTGTATGAGAGAAATTGTTCTTTATTTAAAACTCTTTTTTGTGTGTATTCGGTACACGGTGTCATTATACAGCTTGGGCTAGTAGTGATCCTCCTGTTTTCAGCCTCCCCGGCACTGAGATGACAGGCATGTAGCCATTATGCCCTGTTTTGGTGGCTTACTCAGTACACCCAAGGGTCAGGTCTGATGCAGCTTGCAGTATTGGGGATCGAACCCTGGTCTCTGTGCTCGCCTAAGCAGGCGCTTAGTCCACTGAGCTATCTCATAGCCCTTAAAACTCTGTTCTTTTGGAACCGCCTACCTCCGTAACTGACCATGATAGTGCAATGGAGCATGTGAGCTTGGTTGTGCCATTGCACCAAGCTCCAGGAAGTCCTGATCGTCGACCCGCCCTTGTAAGCAATGACTTCACCCTGCTAGCCGGTCACAGGAACTGCCAGGCTGCTCTGCCTCGCCCTCGTCCCTCCCTCATCCCTCCCGCCTGTGCACCAGTTTCAGAAGTAGCCATCGCAGCAGTACACACACTCACACACACACTTAAAGGCTACTTGTTTGTGACAGGGCTCTGCCTTCAGACACACAAAAAGGTGGAAGGCTCAAGAGAAGGGTGTGCTTGAGTCTTATGAATGAGCAGTGACAGTTACCCAAAGTCCCCCTCCACACCACGTCTGCCTCTGAGGATCCCACGTGGGTGAGTCCTCCTGAACCAGGCCCTGGCCAGGCTTGTGCAGTGCGCAGCCTGGGCTGCAGGTCACGGCCAACAGTGTCTCTCCCTTTGCAGTGCGCAGGATCAAGGCAGCTGATGAGGAGAGGAGCCAGCGAGCTCAGTGTGCCCGGGATGAGTATCGGCGCCACTCGTTGAGTGCCATCCAGAAGGGCACTGTTGCTGGGCTCAGCTCCATGTTCCAGGAGCTTGGCCAGAACCACGAGCAGGAGGCGAGGCTCTGCCACCATCTTCCAGGCCCCGGTCCCCCACTGCCCCGCGCTCTGCCTGTTGGGTGAGTCAGAGGCTCCAAGTGACCCTTGAAGTGGGGCGAACAGAGCGGGCCTGCAGCCTGACTCACTGGTCATCGCCCCTCTGCATCCCCAGTGCCCCAGGATATCTTATGGGGGAGCATGAGGTTTGTAGTTTTCATGTTTAAATTTTAAATTCATGGGATGTACAGTTTTTACCATTTATAGTTTATATTTTCCTCTTACACTTTAACTCTTGCATTAGTATATAATAACTGCACACAACACTAGAATTCTCCCTAGCACTTTCGCCCAGGCAGAGAGCATGCAGGTTTGGACATTTCCAACAGCTTTGGAATTCTGTGCATCTTAACATCTTTGAGGTACAGGATTCCTTGGTAATCTGAGGAATGCTGTGAGTCCTCCTCCCTTCCAAGCATGCAGGTACAAATGCATCAGAAGGCTTGTAGCCCGCTTACACTCCTGAAGGACCCTGGGCCCCAGGTTAAGATCATGTAGTAAAGGACCTTGAGTGGATTAAATAGGACCCAGTATCCTGGGATGGTGACTCAGGACCTCTTCTAACTATGGGTGGTGCTAGTTTGTTGGGGTGAATTGAGGTCCACAGATCAGTATGGGTGAAGCCATGTGGGGTCTGTCACACAATTTGTGTTGCTATGGGTTTGTTGGCAAGAACACTTAAGGGACAGCTCATGAGTGCTAGGACCGGTGGCCAGGACCACTGGAAGACTTCAGGTTCGCCTGTCCCCTCTGAAACCCACCCTTGAGATGGCCCCCTCTGCTCCCAGCTTTCTCACTCCTGCTAAGCAGCCCCACTCCAGGGAGGGTCAGGGACTATCTGAAGAGTCAGAGGTGTGAGAGTTGTGCTTTAGGTAGGGATGGGGTTGCTCCTAATCGTCACCCCTTCCCCTGTTGCAGGATGTGCTGGCCATGTCTTCTTCATTTCTTTCCTCCTCCTCTCTTTTGTCCCTTCCTTCCTTGGCACATGCAGTTCTCCAGTCAGGATGCCAAAGGAGGAGCACCCCCCAGGACACACCCCCAGGTCCCACCTCCATCGGTCCCTCTCCCCCCCCAATCATGGCTCCGTTGCTTATGTGTCTTCCCACTCTCTTTCTGAAATCGCTCGCATGAAGTCCTGTCCCCCCCCTTTTTTGTTATAGCTGCTTAGTGGTCTTCAGCAGGGAAGCACTGTGAATTACTTCTTAGATACCCTACTAGTGGACACTGGTGGTGTTGCACAACTTTTGTTACCACCAACAGTGCCCTGAGTGAATTAATTACCTTGTAGAAATTAATCATACCCACATGCCAACTGTTTTATGTTGGAAATTCCCCTGAGGTGGCTCACTGCCCATCTCACCCCTACATGAGGTTGGTACCAGTTCACACCCCTGTCCTTTGCCCATAGCACATTGTCAAACTCTGGTTCTGGAGCAGGAGTTTAAACTTGTGCTTCTATTTATGAAATTGAGTATTTATATATGTTTAAGGGTCACTGGGATTTCTTTACCTAGTTCCCTATCCATTCTCACATGAGGTGAGAGGATTTTTCCTTAAGAAGTTCTAGGGGGGCCGGAGAGATAGCACAATAGCATAAGCGCTTACCTGGCAAGCGTAGGGACCTGAGTTCAATTCCTGGTACTGAAAAAAAAAAAGTTCTAGGAATGCCTCACAAATCAGAGAAAAGGAGTTTTCAACTGTTGAAAACATTTTTTTCTCCCTTTGTCCTTTGTATTTTGACCTTTGTGATGGAAATTTCCAGCTTGTGGAAATTCTGGAATTTTTATGGTGTTATTATTTAAGTATTGTTTTCTGGTTCAGAGGGCAGAGTTAGTTATGAGTCAGCCTCTAGGTCACAGGGACACAATGTTTGGCACCCATAGCTTCAGGGAGCAGGGGCTTTGTTTGGCCCCCTGACTGGGGCCCTCAGTGCTTCGTTGCCTGGCTCAAAGGTGGAAGCAGCAGGATTGTCATCCCTGGGGGTGAAGCCGCCTGCCTTGCGGCAGCCCAGAGGGGAACAGAAGGAAGAAGGAGAGCAGGGGCAAGAGCACATCCTTCCCGGTAATGTCCGGGGCCTGCTCCTTCCAGCCGCCTGCCCCCAGCAGTGGACATCTGACCTTCTTGCGTGGACCCACAGATGAGCACAGCACTCCCTTGACCCAGTCGTCCTCCAAGCCCAGGGGACATTGGGGACATTTTAGACCTAAGCTGCACTGTGCACAGTTAGCAAAGCCCTTGTCCCTTCCGTGCTGTTGGAAAGGAACTCTATAATTTGTCTCTCAGTCCACACGGTGGAGCTGCAGGGACTGTGGTGCGGCCTGGCCTTGCCTGTGCAGCCAGGAGGGAGGGGTGACCTCAACTCAGCGTAGAGAGGCCTTGGCCGGCAGGTGGAGCAGCAGATGCAACACCTCCATCCTCTGCCACAGCCCAGGGCCCTGTGGTTCCCTGCCCGCAGCTCATGGTGCAGGCCCTGCCCAGGTGGACGCACTCTGCTGAAGGGTGCAGGAGCCGGACTTGTGTCCGGGAGCACCCAACCTAGTGCTTATGTTCTGAGGGATCAGAGTTTCTGCTCAGAAACATGTTCTCGGGGAGTTCAGCAGTCTAAGTGCCTGCCTGGTAAGCTCAAAGTCCCTGGTTTGAGCCCCAACACTGCATGCAGTGCCAGCCCCAGAGTCCTGGGAGCACTGTGTGGGGCACAGAACCTGGGTGTGGGGGCAGAGGTTGAGGCAGGAGGATCACTGCAAGTCCAGGCTATGTAGTGAGACCCTATACCAAATAAATAGATACAAACAAACAAACATGTCCTCATGCAGTGCTCAGAGCAGAGCCCCGCAGCAAGGGTTTGCTTTGCTGTTGTTTATAAGCTGCACTTGCCTTCTAAGGAGCTGGAGCGTTGGAAGTGACAGGATCTGTCCCATGATGCAGTTGGTTTTCAGGGGTGCAGGTGGGGGAGAAGAGGCTGGTAGGCAGGGATGCCGCTCAGCAGGGAGGCAGAGGGGGTCCTGGGCTCTGAGAGGGAAGGGGAGGCTCCCAAGGGTGGATGGAGGAGCATGCAGAACCGGCTGCAGGGCTATGGTGGGTGAGAAAAGCCAGGCCTGGAGCAGGGCGGGGAGGTCAGGTTAGGAGTGCACATGCCCAGTAAGTGCGCTGTGGTCCAGACGAGGTCTGAGGGTTTCTGCACCCATGTGGTTCATATGTGGGGAGTTCGGTTGTGCTGCTGCATAAGCAGCACCCAGTGGAGGTCCTCATCCCAGGGTGTCGGTTAGGTAGCTCTTGCACAGAGGCGGGAGCCTTCCCAGGGAAACCAGTTCTTCGAAAGGCCCCAACCAGCCCACAGTGTCTGCGGCTTTATTCCACCACCTCTTCCCCTTGCATGCTTCCAAAGTGGTGCCCCTGACAGCAGGCCCTCCAGGTCCTGCACTTTCTGCCTCCTGAACTACAAGCTAAAGAAGCCTCTCTTTTGTCCTGTGCAGCCTGCCCTGGGTGTTTTATTACAGTAACAGGACACTGACCAACATGGTGGCTGTGGCCTGCCTTTCATTAAGCCCCTTTCCTGAAAGCTGTAGTGGTCAGGGCTTTGTGTGTGTGCTGTGTTGTGCTTACACATGTGTGAGTGGACCCATTGTGAGGGGCTGCTAAACTCTTCAGAGTGTCTCTGCAGAGAAAATATAATTTATTTTTTCATCTATGTATTTGGTATAGGGTCTCACTATGCAGCTTGGACTTGTAGTGATCTTCTTCCCAGCACTAGGATTAGATATAGTTTATTTTATGTAAAAATAGTAGCAACAGGGTGACTCTTAAGTGCTAATACTGTTAGGGAAATAGCAAAGACAAAACAGGAACTTCTCCAATTCCCGTCACCCTTTTAGAAGCAGTGGAGAGGGCAGTTTCGCTCCCACCGGGCCACAGTCTTCTTCAGACCCTGCACTTCTGCACTGTGATTGGAGGCTCTGAGGCCCTGCTGTCTTCTGGCTCAACGCTTGTTGGGTGCTTGCCCTGCCCTGTGCTGACTCCCTGTGCAACCCAGACGCACCACGGTCCTGAAGCTTGGTGTCTGCGCACCCGGGAACGTCCCTGTAGACATAGAGCCATGGAAACCTTGGTTCCCCGGGAGATGACAGGGAACGGGTGCACTCTGTCCCTCGGAGACCCCCCACCTGCTTCTGCACATCCCTCTAGTGGTCTTTGATTCTTCACTGTCCCCCTAGTCCAGGGTCACCCTCTGGACCATTGTGCTCCCCTTGCGAGGGGAACCTCCGCTCCCCGGACCAGATCACGGTTCTGTGGTTTCTCTCTCTGTTCACTGTCCCGATCCTGCCTTGCACAAGCCTGACTGTCTGGATGAGCAGGGGTCCCTACAGAGGGTTAGGCAGGGTCCCCAAACTGGGACTGTCCTTCATGGGGGCAGGGACACTCACATAGTAAATTCGCTCCTGTTCCCTTAGCCTCATCTTCATCTGTGCTGATCTTCATGCCAGGCCATCCTGTTGTCTGGGAGAAATATGTCTTCTCCCATGTCAGCCCTCTCCTCCTGCCTGCTTTCACTCCCACTTGTGTAGTTTTCTTTGAATCAAGTGCTGTTTTCATTTTGGAAAACTAATTGTAGCTGCTATATTATAATTTGCTAAGTACCCGTGAGTACCCACACTCACTGAATCCCCTTCATAGGCCTGAACCTGGGCATCGTGCTTGCTCATTCTCATGGATGCTGTCCTCTCCCTCTCTTTTCTCGTCCCCTCTCTCCTCTCTCCCTCACTCTATCAGGCTCTCCTCTCTCCCTCCACACTCTGCCCTAACTCCCCATCTGCTTCTGTCTTCTCAGCAGGACTTGGGAGCGACCACTTCGTCCAGTCTCCAGAGAAGTCATTGTCCGCTGGTTTAAGGAGGAGCAGCTGCCTCGCCAGGCTGGCTTTGAGAGGAACACCAAATGCATCGCACCCTGGTTCCATGGTAGGTTCTCTTTTTGGCCCCAAGGCAGAACTGTGCCATATCTTCCTCCTCCGCATGCATGGGAGGTCTTGGCGGACAGCTGGAACCAGGGATAGGACTTCAGAGTCCACTGCTGCTCTTCTGCCCCCTACAATTCCAGCAGGAGTCCCCCAGCTCGGGCATCCTTAGCTCCCTCTGTCTGCTGGGAAGGGGGCAAATAGGAGTCCTGTTCATTGCCGACCACACATGATCCCATGGCTGGTGGCATCTTCCCTGTATTCATGGCACCAGGAGTGGGCCGGGAGCTGTCTGAACCTGAGTCCCCATGTCCTGGTGGTGCCTGGTACAGCAGTCTCTGGCCAAATCCTTGCTGATTGCATGGAAGATGGTTGGATATAAAGGTTGCAGGTACCCAAAAGAGCACCAGAGCTGGGAGGCTCCATGGAAGTCTTTCTATCCATTCAGTGCAGATGAGAAACTGAGGCTTAAAGAAGGGAGGAAGGTTTAGTAGGTACCCAGAGTCTGGTAAACTCAAGTTCAAGAATACATCTTAAGGATCACGACCCTCGTTCAGTGATCTGAATTTTCAGTGGACTCGGCAGGGAAACAGGACTGTGTCTCCATCCTAGACTTGCTGCAGGACGGCTGCTGGCTATCAGTCCCCTCTACATCGGTTAGCTAATGCCGCAAGACAAGTCACCTCCAAACTCCATAGTGGAAAGGAAGTAAAAGTTATTATGTATTCATGAATTTCTGAATTTACTGGCATTTTCTTCTAGCATGCCTTAGCCTCAGGTGATCTTGCTGAGCTTGCTCATGTGTCTCTGGGAAGCTGGCAGGTTAGGATACTGTCAGATGGGGGACAGTTCCTCTCTACTCTGTGTGCTGCTTGTCCTCTGGCAGCCTGGCCCAGGTCCTCAGGTTCCTCTGCAGGAAATGCATGTGTGCTTTGCTCCCTGAGTGTCTCCCCAACCAGCTCATATCTGCCTGTGATGTCCGCAGTGAGCACTGATCCTGCCTGCATGGTTACCACCCTGCTGACTCATGCCTGTCTCTGCTTGCCTTTTGCCTGCTCCTGGGAGCTTGACCAGCCTCCATACTGGCCTGTCATCCCTGCATTCTACTATCTTGAGGGCCAATAGGCAACTGGCAGACGTGGCCTCTCGTGTGAGCCCTGGGCCTGGTCTGGCTCCCTGACAGGCAGCTGTGGCACTGAGAAATCATGCGGGGTGGGCAAGTCTGTCTGCACTTTCATGTCCTTCATTCCTGCCGCTGGGCAGCTTGTGCAGGCAGCAGGCTCACACTACAGACCGACCACGGAGATGCTGCACTGTATAGAGAGGCTAAGGATCACACAGGCAGCAGCACCAGCAGCCCAGGCTGTGGGAGAGTCCTCCAGGGTCTGTGCCTTCCACTCTGCAGTTCGCCCTCCACAACCACCCTGAGAATCCTTCCTGTATACCTCGCTGTTGTGCTCAGTGCCCTCTACTCCTTTCCACTTCAGAGAACTCTGAAGGCCCCAGGGGCCTGGGCTGTTCCGGCCCAGCCCCGTGCCAAACTGCCCCTTGACAACCTTGCCCTCAGTGTGTGGTCTTTTCTGTTCTTCAGACGAGCCTCCCTTTTCTCCACCTAGGCCCTTGGTCCTTGCTGTTGCTCTGCTCACTTTTGCTGTCTTTCCACACTCTTGCTTGGATAACACATTCTTGTTTTCATGCGAAATAGCCTCTCTTCCAGAGGCCTTTCCTGAGCACCTTCCTGTGGCACTTTAACTCGGTTCACCCTGTTTGAGTGGGCTTGCCCGAGTGGGATGCCTCTCATCGTCCTCTCAGCCTCATGTTAGCCCCTGAGGCCAAGGCCTGTCACTGTCCCCAGGTATCCACAAGGAGTAATGACAGAGGCATGCATGAAGGGTAAGAATTGGGATTAGAATTGAGATTAGCTCTAGGCTTTTTAGTCTGAAGAAATATACTTTGCTTTTCTGCTCTGGGTTCTGGGAGGCCTGTGAGTCCCGTCAGCAGCTGAGAAAGATCAGAAAACCAGGACTTATTGGAGAGGCCCGGCTTTGCCTCCCCAGTTGGCCAGGTGCTCAGCAGAACCAAGGCCGCCTCTGTGCCCAACTCATCTAGCCTCCTACCTGTCCTGGCAAGAAGCAGAAGCATGTCCAAGACAAGGTCACTGTCTTCATCCCTTGTGGCTTTTGAGCTCCTGACTCCATGAACAGAATCCCTGTGGGGCAGGTCTGAGTGCCTAGCTTGTAACATTTGTGCCTGAAAGGTCAGTGACTGCGACCACGGTTACTTCTAACCCATGTCTCAGGCTTGCTAGGAGTTGGATGAAGAGTTGGAAGAAGGCCTCAGGTCAGGGAGCTGCCTCCCTTGGAAACTCTGGTGGCCTCATGGAAGAGAGAAAAGAAAGACTCGGCAAGCCACACCGTGGCCCAAAGCTTCTGCGCAGCTGCAGTTTCCCCAGCCAGAGCTTGGCTGGCTCCTGGGACGTGCTGGGTGGGCTCACATGACAGGAGAATCATCGTAACCACTTCATGTTTAGACCTCCTCCTTCTCCGCAAGCCTGAAGGGCATCCTCTGGCTCAGAAGACGGTCAGCGTTCATGGGTGCCTGAGTCCCAGCTTCCAAGAATTGGCCCGATATTCTTGGCTTCTCACTTCTGTCACACTGTGTGCCCCTGTAACCATGGAGAAGCTCCCACTGGAATCGCTGCTCGTCGCTGCACACATCATCCTTGTCCTCACAGAGGCAATCCAGGCACAGGTGTGGCTCCAGCACCCCTTGGGGTGGGCATACCAGCAGCTGCTCCTGGGGCTCAGCAGGGCTGCGGCAGCCCACGGGGAAGGCGCGGCAGGGTGTTCAAATGTATCTGGAGTCTTATTTCCCACCTTGATGGGGGAAAAGGTAACTTTTATGTTGTCACAGAACAAACAGAACCAGGATTTAAGTCTCACAATTTCTGTAACTGATTGCATGTTCTCCTGACAGTTCTACCATAAAGTGTGCGGGGAAGTTGCTAAAACACTGAGTGGAGCTACTACAGGAGCAAGCTTTCATTGCTTCATGACAGAATGAAAGGAGAAGGCTCACTTCTGGAAAGCGGCCAAGTGGCTTTGCTTGGAAAGGACCGCACTACATTCTAGGTTGATAGCCTTAGTTTTAGTGTGAAAATGTCTTATCTTTTATGAGAGGATGCTGATAGTGAAAGTAGTTATTTTTATATATAGTCTTTGCTTAGAAAAAGAAAATGTTAGCGGCCTTACATTGGCTCCTGAGAATTTTATTTTTAATGATTTGGAGCAACAAGTGCTCTAACTTGCTGTCCTGTGTAGAGACTCACTGATGGAGGTGGCAGTAGCCCTGACCCAATCCTTTCAATGACAATGAGCTCACTGTCCCTCAGGAGCTTTGTGCCAGCCTGATTGCTAGGGGTTTCTGATGTCGGTTGGCAGGGGCTGTGCGCTCTCTAGTGGGTGTGCTGGGTTTGTTAGCAGGGCAAGTCTGCTCTGCTCCTCTCTCCTGGGGCCGACCGAGAAGTTCAGGCCTGCACTTCTCATGGTGACAGTACAGGCTCCAGGGGGCCGTTGGCAGTGCGTGTAACTCCCAGTGTCTATCCTCAGCATCAGCACATTGTCATTCTACCTCATGTGCCTCAGAGTTGAGGGACAGATGGTGTATATCCTGTTATTTACTTGAGAGGAACTGCAAAGCCAAGGGTCAAAGGTGTGGAGACAGGGAGGGAAGAAGAATTCGAGCCTGCAATGCACTCTGTCTCGATCCCAATATAGATCTTTTCTTCCAGGGTAAGACATTCCTAGTCAGTTTAATTGGATTTTAGGAGCAAGTTAAAAATGACTACTGTGGCTCCTGTTTCCCTGGCTTCTCACATGCATTTGAACTTGCCATGGTGTAACCCAAATTGCCACATGTACAAGGGGTCTGAAGATGGGGCCCATCTGACCTTGGGTGAGTCCTTTGAGTCCCTGTGAAAGTGGAGTTATAACACCCACCTCACAAGATACTTAAGAAAATTAAGGCAACAGAAATGCTTCATTGCCTGATGTCTCTGGAGTCTGGGTCCAGTGACCAGATTTGGGAAACAGGATTTGGAGAAGCAAGGTCAGGACACAGAAGGGGAGGAGATTAGCATCCCATGGGGATCTCAGGGCTCTGATAAAGTTTCCTTTTAAAAAGAGCTTGTTTCTCCCTTGCTCATGATTACTTTCTAGGAGTTGTAGGAGAGACTTTTAGTTCTATAGAAGCATTCTTGAGGAATGCCGGTGCATACAACCTTGGTGTTGGGGAAAAATTCTTATCTTTGGGCTTTGACACATATGGCCCCTGTCTAAACATTAGCTCACTCAGGCTCTTTTCTCTTCCCTGGCTTTATGGTTAGAAAGAGTTGCAGAACGGCCCTTGGTTTATTGACTTGGCAAAGCCTCCTGGCTGGCTTGCTGGGCACAGAATGGGCCCGTGTGGTAGATGATGTAGTTGGCATTGGTGGATGACATCTGTGGGATTCTTCTCAGGGATGGTCTCTGTGGGGATGTCCTCCCTTGGCTCCAGTGGGGTAAGCTGCACTCAAGAGAGATATGGGCTGTCACTTTATCTAGTGTACCTTTCAGAGTTTACTAATTCTTTCAGATTCTGGGTGAAGGAAAGGAGAAAAGGAAGAAGGAAGGGAAAAAGAAATATATGTATACACACAGGGTAGCTTGAGTAATTGTTCTGCTAGTTTCTGTTGGCCTGTTGAAAGGAGCAATTAATGCTGAAATCTCTCTCTCCTTTTTAATTTTTTAGAATTTTTTGACCAATTTTGCAGGCTTATATCTGGTAATCTGAACAACTAATTTGAAAACAACAATATGAAGTATAACAACTATTGTTGAATTCCTATCATTCTATTTAGTGAAATTTTGTAGTTTCTAATTTTTTTCTTTTCCTATTTTTAAATTCTTTTTGAAAGATACGATATCCAAAATAAAAGAGAGCAGTTACTTGATACTCTGTGATAAG